TACTGGAAATAAAGAAATAGAACAGGCAAACACAGGGATTGCTGTGCACGAAGACATCGCATTTTTGCTCAGAGGGACCTAAAACACCGTTTGCTCCGTCTGTAATACCGGGGGAAAAAGTAGTCCGAGGGTAATGCTACCATACTGGTTTTACAAAGCTATGGAGAATGGAGAGACTGTTTTGAAATCATGGTTGCTGTACTCAAAGACGAACAAATCTCTTTATTGTTTCTGCTGTCGCCGCTTCCTGAAGACAGAACAACGCAACTCAAGTCTAGCAAGAAGTCCAGGGTTTCAAAAGTTCTAGAAGCTTAATTAAAAAATGTCAGAACATGAAAATTCGTCTCCACCACCAAAGAGCTTTCAAGAAATGGAAGATGTTGGAAATGACCCTTAATAAAGGCAAAACCCTTGACAGTAAATTAGAAAAATAAACTATGAAATAGAGACAGATTTGGTGACAGGTTTTAACATGGTTATCTGATGTCGTGAAGTTTCTGATGAAACAGAACCTGCCTTTTAGAGGTCATAGAGATGTATATAGTTCCAATAAAGGAAACTTTATAGAACTTGATGAACTTATGAGCAAATATGATTTTGTTTTTGGTAAGCATTACTTGAAAGTAGTAAATGATAATCGGCGATACTTGTCACTGAAAATCCAAAATGAATTCATTCATATCTTAGGAAACCATGTAAAGGAAAATATATTGGATTGAATTTGAAAAGCCAATTATTTTGTGATTATAATAGACAGCACGCTGGACATTTCTCATACTGATCAGATGAGTTTCATTTGTTGATATATTGTTGTTGAAGACAAAAGAAGTGGAGGTGTGGGAATCATTTTTTGGTTTTATCACTGAGCATGGGAAGACAACTTATGATATCAAGAATATGATTTTGAATCGACTGGAGAAAAAGAAACTTGATGTCAAAAAAATGTAGGGGGATAGGATTTGACAATGCGGCTAGTATGGCTGGAGTTCATGCCTCAAAGCTAAAATGGGAAATGCAAGTTCTAATCATTACATTTTCGGTCAGCTGTGTGATCGAGAGATTCTATACATTTTTCTCCTCTTCCAATCACCGGTGGGAAGTTTTATCTTCGTATGTGTAGGTCATGATGAAGCGTTTGGAGTGCATGTTATGAAGCTATTCGTGCAGTGAAAACCGTATTTCAAGGTGTGATTCAGGCACTCGATTCAGCTTCAGAAAACACTTCAAACGAAATGGGATGCACAAATCATTGTTTTTTCAACTGAAAACTTTTCTTTCATGTCACAATTATTTTACTGGGAAGAAATTCTGGGACAAATTTCTCACCCAAAAGAAAATTGAAGAACTTGGCATTGGTTTAGATGTGTGTGTGTGTGTGTGTGTGTGTGTGTGTGTGTGTGTGTAACCCACATGAATGCGACCAAAATTTTCTTTAACCTAAACAGGGACAGGCTGGTGTCTGAATCGGTTAGTGCGAGAAATGGAAATTCCAGTTGAAAAGCGGGTGAAAAGAAAGAGGAATCTACCTGGGGAAAAGGAAGATGATGTATGTCAAAGACTTGTGCAGGAAGTAAAGAGAAATTTTTACGAATGTCACGATCGACTTGAAAATGAACTGGAAACACGAATTGACTTCATGTCTCATCTGCAAACTGTCTTCGCTGGATTATCGTTGCAAACAATTCTGGAAGATACTGAAAGCGAGTTGGAGCGAAAATTTAAAATTCTCGGTAGCGAATACAGTGCTGACTTAAAAACGTATCTAGGCTGCCTTTGGAAGTTCTCCGACTTCGGGATTTTTTAGCGGCAGCTTCCAAAGTAGAACGTGACATGAACATGATGACCAAATCATCGGCTGTCGAATGGCTGAGATGGATTTATCGATGGCAAGTTCAAGAAACAGTACAAAATATTGCGATAGTTCTACGGCTGTTTTTGACGCTCACAGTTTCTGTTGCTACTGCAAAGAGAAGCTTCTCAAAAGTGAAGCTCATTAAAAGTCACTTGAGATCGAGTATGTCACAAGATTGCTTATCCAATTTGTCCCTCATTTCAATTGAACATGAAACTGAGAAGATAGACTTTGACCAAGTTCTTAGTAACTTTGCTTTTGCAAAAGCTGGAAATGTTAGATATGATAATGTTTTTTCAGCTAATTTTTGAATTTGTTGATTTTCAAATACTAATCAACGCCATTAAGCATATTTCACATATTTTTCCTCTATAAAACAATAGGGGGAAATTATGAATACTTTGCCTCAGTACACCCCTGTACTGACGACCATGCATTCTGTTTTCTTATAGTTCATACTTAGTCCTTTCTTCTTGTCTCCCTAGTCCCTCCAATCAATATATAATTGTCACATGTATTTGGGATTCAAATTTTACTTAGAAATTTTCTTTTTATTTCTTGTAATGGTTTGAGATGCCATTTTCTGTTCAGTTGTTACTATGCCAATACATATTCAATGATCAAACTATGATTTTAATTAACTTTTGGGCATTTTAAACCTCTTAACTGATAATGACACTTATTCTTATGCAAGCACACAACAAGCCTATCTGTCTAGCTTTTCACTGGCTAGACAATTAACCCTATTTTGTGTATCTATTTTCATTCATGTTGGTGTGTAAAAAAATTAGGAAAGGTTTACTGAACATTCACAAGGGAATCGAAAAGTGAAATTAACACCATGACGAGTAATGGACACTTGAATCCTTTTTCAGATATATTAGATTGTTTATGTAGGATCCACTTGCCCAATTCAGGAGTGGATAGATGGATGACACTATGAACAACTTCTGCCATTTCTGTCATGACAGATTACAGACCAGCATCTCCGCCCCATCAGCCAGTGAGAACTCCTATCTGCCCATCTTGACATCCCAATTCTAAGAGGTAGAATCAGAACTATCTCTGATGAACAACCAGTACCCCAACAACAGGTTGTATTGGAACTATTTCAATGGACAGTCTGTACTCACCAATGAATGGCTCAGAAATACCTTCAGTTTTGACTTTGTTTATATAAGCCTATGAGCAAAACTTACTAACTTCATGTAAAGTGCTGTTTGATCTCAAAATTTTTTCTCTTATTTATACATTATTTTGTACTCTTTTGGTCAAGTGAGTAGCTGCTTTGAAGATCTTATTTCATAGACTTTACTGCTGGTCATAAAAAAAAAACATAGATTAAGACTGGGATAAAATCATTTACCATTCTCTTTTGTATGGGTATCCTTATCACAGCTGAGTCCCATCATGTCACAGAAATAAAAAAAAACTTGAAAGTTGGAAAACTTAACAGAGAATTATTGAATCTATCTTATTTTGGGGAAGAAGTTCAATTGCATTATCATTTTTCATGATATGGTTGACTCAGAATTGTTAAAACCTAATAAAATTGTGCATCAAATATCAATGAATAATAAAGATAAAATTTTATCACCAAAGTTAAAAAGAAATTTGAAAATTGTTTTCCAAAATACCAATTTTACAAAATATTTTCCTTCCATGAGCAAAGTTAGATCTTGATCCATGTGTTGAAAATAGAAAGCCTAGATTGAGATTATGTTTTTGATTTCGTGGAGAATCTATTTTTTATTTCTCTCAATTGTCAAAATTTTGATGACAAAACACATTCTTTTCTTTTTTTAATTCTTGCATTGTAAAAAAACTATTTCTGTTTCCATTTGGAATAATAAAAAACTATTTCAGGTGCTATTTATGGATTTATAAAGCATTTTAGTTATCATATTTCTGTGCATTGAAGATGCCATTCTTTCCTGAAATAAGTCTCAAAATGCATCAACTCAAAGTTGAAATTTTATGTTTTTTAAAGTATTTGACAGATCAAAATTAGGATGCCTTCTTGAGATATCCACACTGCTGAGAAATACAGTATATTTACAATGATGGTAAAATCAATGATTTTGTTAGAAAAATTTCTGTCATACAATTATGGTAGCTATGTTGTCAATGATGCTAAAATATAGTAAAAGGCAGCATGTGAAGCATTATTAATCCTGCAGGAACTAAAAATTGCATCTATAAAGTAGGAACAGATAAAATAAAGAAGCAATTTAAGATTTGCAATAAATAATATAGCAGAAGACTCAAATGAAATGTTGTTCTCTCTTTAAAAGGAGATAAATTTAGGGAAGAAATTCTTGAAATATTTTACTTATGCTTGCTGATATTTTATCAGCTAAAATGTGCATCATGCAGTTTTAAATTTATTTCCTTCATTATACCTGAAAAGAATTATATTTGAACCAAACTATATGTTTACAATAAGCTTGCTTCAGCCATTTTATAAACCAATGTATGCTAGAAAAGAATAGCTTCATTTCTGCTTAGAATTTTTTAACTGCAGCAACTTCTTTATCTATAATAATTATTTATGAACAATGCAAATCTCATTGGTTGGCTAAGCAGGTGATAACTGTATTCAAGTCAATATTCTCCAACTTCATAAATGGCTTTGTGCTGTTTTTTTTTTTTAGTTATATATTTATTAAACTAAACCAGTATTGGTACAAAGCTACATTTATAGACCATAAGTGAAGATCAAATTCAGTAATTACTGAATTGCAAGACAAACCTTGTAATCTCAGAATATCAATATTAGCTTAAAAGATTTGAATTAAAAGTTTCTCTGAAAATTGTAATTAAAAATATGTACAGGGAAATGATGTAACTTTATCTTAATTTAAATACCAACAAAAGAAAAAGGTTCTGTGTAAAGTTGTAGATTGTAGTGCTTAATCCACAAGTAGTCAGACAAACTGAATATGGATAACTTCCATGTTTTTGTCTAGGGGAGGTTATTTATAGTCTTGACTCTTCCCATATCTAAATTAGCCTTCTAATACAGATTTACCTATTTTATTATGAGAGATTTTTTTTTTCTGACTCTAAATATTCTTCCCTAGACAGGAACATGGAAGTTATCTATATTCAGATTGTAGATTTTATTTAAATTTTTATTTTCAATCAGGTGCTGACTCCACGCGGCTCCAGGATGGACATTCGTTTGCCAAGCATTTCCTCGTCCATTCACTCTGGTCGAGACATTAGGAAAACCATTGCTTCCATACACCATTCAGTGCAGGGGACAGTAGTGGGCAGTTATACAAATGGCAACCACACACAAGACAATGAAGATGAGGATGTTGGTAAGTAGATGAGAGATGGAAATAATTCTATTATCATACCACAAATATATATAGGGTGCAATACATAAATTATCGCCATTTTACATTTTTAATTTCACACTTGAGTGTTGATTGTTTTAGATTTTGTTGGGCTCTGTCTCTGGGAAAAAGAGTACAATGACACAATTCACTCCACCAGAAATTTGAAAACAGCATGCTATACTGCTTGGCATTCATGCCAGAAGCTCCCAATGCAAACATTTCAGAGTGCAGAGGATTTGGAAAGAGTTGGATGAGTCTAATGCTGATTACAAAGATACAGCGAATTGAAAAACACACTCTGATCATTCTGATAAGAAAAGAACTCCCAAATGTTGGTGAGGACCTCAGACTCAACACAGAAGCCTACATCAAGTACCTTGAGAAGGTAGTGCTGCCTTGGGTCAAGACACTGCACCATGCCAGAAAAGCAGGAGAACCCAATCAGACAATTTCTGTGACCACATCACCCATTACATCTGGCCACCTAACTCCTCAGACTACAAACCCCTTGATTATTATGTGTGTGGTGCAATTAAGCAGAAGACCAACAAAATTCGTTGTAACACCAAAGATGAACTGGAGGCAAGAATTATGGCAGCATTCACCAACTTAAACAAGGTGACTGTCCAGAAGAGTTGCAGGAGATTCCAAAGTCAGCTGGAGGCTGCAGCTGAAACCAATAGTGATTTTATTGAATTAAATTTATTCAATAAAATCTTTAGTATTTCAAGATATTTTTGTGTAATTTTGGTAAATATATCTGTTAAAATGAGATGTTATTTTCATTTTTGCATAATTTAGATGACAATTTATCCATCACACCCTCTGTGTGTGTGTGTGTGTGTGCATGCGTGTATATATATATATATATATATATTTTATGTGTGTGTGTGTGTGTATGTGTGTGTGTGTATGTGTGTGTGTGTGAGACAGTTAATCGGTGAATAATTAAAAAATGCTATTTATATGTGTATTAAAAAAACTCTTTTAAAAGTATTTAAAATAGAGCACTGTTTATAGGATATATACCATATTTTGGAGCCAATAAGTGAAGCACAAACAAGTAAAAGACATCTTTAAATAATTCTCACTAAGTTCGGTCTGTACAAACACACCTCCAAACTTAAATAAGTGGTTTCTGGAACTTGATTGGATATGACAAGTCACATGATGTGCTCTCTATGCTGTTCGTGTGGTTGTACATCAAATGACTTGGAAATAGGTTAAGGCACGGGTTACAAAGTACATTCCTGCAAAAAACTCAAATAGTGATTCAGAGTCGACCCCAAAATGATAAAAATGGCTTGTCAGCGACAGTCAGACCAAATCTGAAACAAAACAGTCAATGGACAGATCTATGAAACAGAACAGTCAGTGAATCAGCCCAGCCTCGACACGCATTACCATGACAATGAAACAGTCAGTGATGATTTTCCTACATACAAAATCTTGATGAAAGTAAGTTCTAGATCAACTACTCTTTGTTTACTCTTGCAAAAATCAAATAATTGTTGAATTTTAATAAAATTTTCAGGACTTATTCACAAATGAATGAAATTATTTTTTAAGTTTTTTCTTCTTTTCTTGGTAAAAATATTTTTTACATGTGTTTCACCCACCCACTTATTTAACTTTATGAAAACTTGAAAAATTTAATGTGATAATTTTAGTGATTATATTAGTTAAAAGCAGAATGTTTTTATGAATTTAAATCTCAGAATTTTCTTTGCAAAATCAGACCCCATCATACTAAATATTTGTTTTGAATCAAAAAATAAAAAATGCAATAAAACTAAGACATTATTTAATTAGAGAAGTTTTTAATTGGATTTATGAATGATATCTATTAAAGACTATATTGCCTGAAGAAAAAAAGATTTTTGATGAAAAATGAATTTTTACAAGATTTTTCATTTTTTACATTTTAAATTGAATACTTTAAAAGGTTTTTAAATCTCTTAAAATTCAATTTCAATGTGATAACTCTTAGGAAATATTGCTATTAAGTAAAACGAGATTTACTAATCATACATTGTAAAGATTATTACAATCTGACAACCTCAAATATTTTAAAAAGAATTTTGATATGTGCAGAATTTCTAAGTATGAATGTTCAAACCTATAATATTATCATTAAAGGTCATGTGTTTTAAGGGTTGTCCCTTCTTATGGGGGAAAAAAACCCTCATATAAACTTTATCATCTGCTCCACCATACTTAAAGTATGAACATGTTCAGCAGACATTGGGCTGTCAATAAATCGATTAACACTTCAGAAAAGAAAACCCCATGGTTAAGAAATGCTTGTATGCAACATTTTATGCTATAAGTAAGTAATATTTGTTTCAAATCAGATAAACTTTAAATTTGCTAATTTTCGTCAGATAACAATTCAGAAATATATATCTTATTTTTGCAAGATTTTAAATTCGAGAATTAACTTTTGTTTACAAATGTGTGAAAATGGCTCTTTTAGTCGATTTCACTGAAAAAAAAATCAATTCCAATCAATATAATTTCTGTTTAAAATATACCACAGTGTATTTTGCTTATTGGAAATAGTAAATTTTTAATCCTTTAGTTTTCAACTAAAGCTAAAATTATAAAGGATGCTAAGTGATGTATTTAATGTTGTAATTTGATTTTAGCTAAACTTACCCTTAAAAATAACAACACACCAGAAAAATCAAAATTACAATGAACGAACATTATTTAATTATTTATGAATTCAAATGTACCTTAAGGAACTATATTCTTGATCAAATCAAACTCATATAATTACATTGATCACACTACTACATGCCTATCCAGATGCCTTATGTTACACCTATCCCACAACTCTATTAGAACCCATTTAAACATGCACACAAACTTACCAGATTCCATCCGAAACATACTAGAAGAAAATACAAACATAATAACCTCATCTGCATGTAAAAATGATTAAAAATAATAGAAATCTTAATAATATTAACTATGAACACAGCCACAATGTTCTAACTGTATTCAGAAAATAAAACATCCCTATAAATCTAGAAACATACACACAACCCATACACCTAGCTAAAAAGCAAAAATAAATTCATCCTCGATAATGGCTAAAAGTAGAGCTGAAAGCACTTAGGAATTACAAGACATTAGGACACTTTTTATACACACTGTGTCCAGAAAAGAAAACACTTGTTTGAATACAAGAAAAATTAAATAAGAAGCTGAATCATAGTACCTGTCTGTCATCTTTAATGAAACATATATATATATATATATATATATATATATATATATATATGAATTTGGTCAACCAATAAGGAATGTCTGTAGCTGATATAGAAAATAGGAAATTTAAATAGATCTTATTGGGTGATGCCAGTTAAACATATGATACAGTACATAGTCAGAAAGACAATACATGAAAGCTTTTTTTCATCAATGTATATAAAATATTGATATATAAATGTATTCATTAGATCCTGAAATGAGGAAAATTTGATTCACAAGTGACATAAAATCACAAAAATGAGAATAGCAAAATTTTTTTCTGTAGCATTTAATAAAACATATATACACAGATTCTTTTATTACTATAAATATTATTTAGCAGACAAACAAGTTTGAGTAGACATTTCTGCTTTTTTATTTTCAGACAAAGAAATTAATGTCCACTAGTAGAAAGTTTATTGAAGTAAAAATTATTAAAGTGCTACATTTTTTTAATAAGACTTTCTATATCTAGGCCTTTGAATATTAATTTCACTGTTTGAAAACAAATAGTAATGTTTACTCAAACATGTGTATCCATTGAAATAACATTTAAGAATAATGTTGGATTTACATCAATTAATAGTTTAAATTGCATATATCTTTGTGTATGTATTGACTGAAGTTGGGAAGATGATTTTTAAATTAAATAGTGTTGCATTCCATGTTGTCACAGGCTTCAGCCCCTCAGACACCAATGCCACTTCACAAAGAAAGATGGTATCTTTTTCTTATTCATTTTATTATATGAGAGCGACAGACATGGTAGCTATGATTTTAGAAGGCAGTGGGAGAAATAACTTCAGGGAAAAGCATGTCCTCTCATTGGCTTAGCATCCTTCTACATGCTGTCTTAGCCTGTCTTTGGGATTTGGGTGTGGAAAGCATATCAATGCTTCAAAATTCTTTCCAACTACACACTGTTTTGGTCTTATATTTGAATCTTAGACTAAAGCAATTCATCACTGTTAGAATACCATGCCCATGAGGTGTCTAACCAATCACTGACCATCCTGGCCCAGCCTGTACATTCTTTAACAGCAGGATTCAATTTAAAAAAGCATTCAGTGATTCCATAGATAAAATAAAGGCTAATGAAAATGTAGCCAAAAATGTTTCCCTGCTACTTTACATTTATGCTAAAGGGAAAACCATAAATTCAAAATAATCTCATACATGTGACATCTATCTATATACATGCATAAATCCTGAAGATTATGTCTATACAACTGAAAACTACAAAACCTTCCATGGAAATGAAAAGAAAGGACTAAGCAACAATTGCAAGAAAACAGAAGACATGATTGCCAGCAAAAGGAAATGCCCAACATGAAAATTACAAACTAGAGATGCCAAAATCAAACAAGTAAAAACAATTTAAATATTTGGGAAGTGTTTTAGCAGAGGACAGAAAATGTGACTCTGAAATTCAACAGTAGAATAGTGAAAGGTGCCTTCCAAAATCTAAGTAAAATATGAAGAAATAGAAAAATTTCATTAGGAAAAAGAGTACTGAACTTTGATGTAATATCAGCCCTCCTATATGGCAGTGTATGCTGGACAATCTACTCACAGATGAAGAAGAGACTTGAAGCAACAGAAATGTGGTTCTACAGGAGGATGCTGAGAATATCAGGAACTGAACATGTGAACAGTGACAAAGTTTTAGGGAAAGTAGAAACAAAAAAGACCCTTATATTTTACATCAGAAATAGATAGTTGAAATTTCTTGAGCACATAATGAGGAAAGAGGACTTGGAACATTTGACGCTCAAAAGGACAGAATAAATAACAAGAGGGATAGATGAAAATAACATGTAATATAGCTTGCATAAATGTATCACAGAACTGGGATTAGGAAAGATACAAAAATGACAAGCCTTATTAATAGCTACAAAGGAGAGCCATGATCACCCACGTCCTGAAGCGACACAGCCCCAAAAAAGAAGAAGAAGAAGTCTATATAAGGTGCATGCTGAAAAGTTTTAGGCCCAATTTCCACCAATAGAATTTCTTTTGGAACCCTTTCTTGTTCAGGCTAAAAACATTTCAGCACTGCCTTGGAAACATTTTATTTGTAGCAAAAAAATATATTATAAACAAACATTTATTTAAGAAACCATATAAAAAAGGACAAAATTTATAAATAGACATTTGGGGACATGAGTGTTGTGTAATGGATAGCATCTCAGATTGAGAAATTGAAGAGCTTTAATGTTTGAATTCCATTTGGGTTTGTTATATTCAATTACATACAAATACCCATAAGAAAGATATGAATCTTTCTCCTCCCACAGCTGTGTGTTAAATAGTAGGACTTGTATCTGGAAAAATCCTTGTTATTTGTAAAAAGATGTTAATGCAATATTCATTCAAAATAAAAAAGGAAATAATTATTACAAACTTGTTTTAGCTTTAAATAACCCACAGAGAGTAAATTATCTGTAAAATATAAATCAATAATTCTTTATTGAAGAAATCATATAAAAAAAGATAATATCATTATAAGGATTTGATATCAAAATTGTGTCTTTATATTCTATTTTTGCTATTTATTTGTATAATTATTTATTTACTGTAATCTATTAAACATTTTTATTTTATCAAAAGAACTTTTTTTATGATGCTTTTATACCATATACAATCTGTTGTATATTGTTTAGAATGATTAAAAATAACTGCTAAAAATGAAAAAAAAACATGTAATTTTAAAAATTAGTCAAAAATGAAAGAAACATTGTAAAAAAAAAAACAATATCAAAAGTGCTGATATGCAATTAAACTCATCCTGTTGTTTTCAGTAATGTTTTAATTTTCATTTTTATTACTTTGCCCTTTTCCAGCTGTAAAAGTCAACAGATCTCTCACACTGGATATGGTCAGTTTTTATTGCTACAAATCTATCTCTCACTTCTTCCAGTAATTTAACTTTTGACTAAATATCTTCTTCAGTAGTGGCTTTATAACTGAAAAAATCTCTCAAATGTCCTTGAGCATGACTAAGCTAAGCCTAGTAAATATCTTAAAAAAAATCACTTAGATAACAAACTGTTAGGCACTCTTTCTGTAAGTTGGGTGTTCTTATAATGTAGGAAAAGCAATTTCACTTACCTATGACATCCTAAAAGGTTAAGTAACATTGGAACACAATGGATTTGCTTACTGTTTGCTGTTTCAGAAAGAAGAATATTTGTCAGCTTGGAGAGATACATCAAAATAAGTAGACAGTATAAAAGCCTCTTGATTTCTCAGATGAAAGTGGAAAACAGTCTTACTCATTCTACATACAAGAAAATGATTTCTGTATCCAGATTCAGAAGAAAAAACCTTTATCATTATTTAGTGTAGAAGTCAAATAAAGCCACTGCTTATACTCTCTCCATTCTTTCTATCTATCTATCTATCTATCTATCTATCTATCTATCTATCTATCTATCTATCTAAATGTTCATATCTATCTATCTATCTATCTATCTATCTATCTATCTATCTATCTATCTAAACCTGTTCATATTCATCTATCTATCTATCTATCTAAACCTATTATCTATCTAAACCTGTTCATATTCATCTATCTATCTATCTCATCTATCTATTCATCTATCTATCTATCTAAACCTGTTCATATCTATCTATCTATCTATCTATCTATCTATCTATCTATCTATCTATCTATCTATCTATCTATCTATCTAAACCTATTCATATCTATCTATCTATCTATCTATCTATCTAAACCTATTCATATCTATCTATCTATCTATCTATCTATCTATCTATCTATCTATCTATCTATCTATCTATCTATCCGTTTAGCTTTATTTTTGTTTTACAATTTCTATTTTTACATTTACCAATTAATACATGTAAAGCATGCTTTACAGTTTATTTGAATAATTCTTAATTCTTGCAGCTTTTTTCAATCTGCTTCCCTGCATTCTAACTTAATCTTTCAGTGCTGGTGGATTTTCTTATCTTTGTAGAGATACAATGGGTCACCATTTATAGAACAAACCTTAAGATATAATTTGAAATTGTAAGAAAATAGCCAAACTGTTTGCTATATTCTATAACAAAGGCATTAAACCTTGAATGAAATATCCATTTATATAATTTGATGAGGATGTCCAAATAAATTATTGTTTTCTAATATTTTACATTGATTTGCTAAAATTGAAAGAATGTAAATTCATACCTTGAATCTAATGTTTATGATATTTTGAAGAAGATGTGGGTTATAATTCAGGCATAAAACAATTTTGCAATATATCTTTTAAATTGGATGAGGATAATGGGTATAGATATACAATGTCAGTTTATAACATGTCTATGTTTTCACAATAAAACTGGATTTATTAAATCAATGTTATTCAGGTTTTCAGGATATACTCTATTTATATGATAAGTATAGTCCATGAATTTGAGCTTATAATATCTGTTTTCATTTGAAATTATTTCAATAAATTATTTGGTGATGCAAGGTTTTACAGTGTAATTAGACGTTTGATCTCAATATTGTAAATAAATATATATAATAGTATAGACACTAATATTTATTTTGAGATAAGAAATATATTATAATATATATATACATATGATAATATATGTCTATACTTTTATATATATACTATGTCTATACTATTATATATATATATATATATATATATATATATATATATATATATATATATATATATATATATATATAAAATAAAATGAGGCCTGAACATTGTGTTTAAGCATGAAACAGATTGCTGTTGAGTGTTGACTTCACTGTTCACTTTTACATATTACATATTACATATTCTCTATCCCTGATATTGAGCACTTTAACACATAAATATAGCATATAGCATACCTTAAAGCTATATTTTTATTATAATAAAATATGTTTCTAAAGAATTAATGGATTTATTGTTAATCTGACATTTTTATTCCTTCAAATGTTATTATAGTGGACACTTCTTTTTTGAAATAGCATTCAAAAAATCTAAAAAGAAATGTACCCTCTTCCATCTATTTGAAATAAGAAGTGTCTACTATAATAACATTTGAATAACTATTTCCTATATACTATAATATAAACACTACAGTTAAAAAAATTGAAGCCACCCCCAGAATTAGCATGAGATGAACTTGATAAAAGAGTAAAAAAAATGGAAAAGAACTCTTTGAGTCATTGAGAAAAGAATGGAATCAATTATCAGACTTATACTTTGAGAAACTTTTGTAATGAATGCCAAAACTTTGTGCTGCAGTAATCAAGACTAAAGGAGGATATTTAGACAAGAGCAAAATTTAATCATAAAATGCTCTTTTTCTTTTTGTCATAATAAAATTTCTAAAAATATCATGTCTGACTTTTTATATAATGTATAATAATTTTCTCTTATTTAAAATATAAAACAACTACTTTGGGGACCAATTTAAAAAATGACCAGGTGTGTCCTCAAGCTTTTGAACTGTGTTCATATATATATATATATATATATATATATATGAGGAAAATCAATGAAAAAATGAAAAATGTCTTCATCTGATGCATTTCATCCTTTAGAAATTTATTGGTCTAAAATGATGTTAATGCAGATGTCACTTCATATGTGCACAATGGAGAGGGGACACTGAAATTTTAAACTTTTATATTTAATTTTTCTTCTTCTTTCTTTTAATATTTTACATATATATCAGAATAATAGTGAGGAATGAATGAAAAAGTAGAAAAACTGATTAATGGCTTGTTTCATTCTGAGAAGGAACTTCTTCAGGTAAATGAAGTTTTATTAATCAATCTTCTATATAAAAGGGTTGAGGAAATGTGATTCAACAAATCCCCATCAGAGTTTACATGGAGATGTTAAATATATAGCAGGGCATGACAGCCAAAATGTTATGATAGTAACAACAAAGATGAGGTCCAACTGCAAATAATAATTTGGTTAATATCAATTTTATTGTGGAAACATTGACCTTCATCGTAAAATCTAATGCGGTGTACAGCAAGTTTTCTTTTCTTTCTCTAATATCTTTTTAAAGATATTAACATCTCTTGATAATGAGATGAAAATGTTTTTCACTTATAAGCATAGAAAAAATAAATATGTATTCATGTCTATTTGTGGAAATCTATCTTTCACAAATGACATATAATGAAAATTTTATGTCTATTGGTAACATTATGGTTCAACAGGAACTATAATTGCCAAGGATTTGCTGAAAATGAGTTCCTTTCCTTTTGATAAATTTATTTATTAACTGCTTTTCAACTCAACTGAACATTGCCAAATTCATTATAGAGTTGAATGGTTAAACATTTAGTGTTAGCAATAATGCTACAATGTGATTTGGGTTTGCCAAATTTGACTTATCCAATCAAAATTGATAGTTTTCCCTTCCACAATATACAATAAATGCAGCAAATGTAGATTATATATTTTACAGAAAAAAATTACGAATGAAAAAAAAAAGTTTGACACAACAGAAAATATTTTGTTGTTATATCTGGTCTAGTGTTTCTGCTATATATCTAGAGATTCTTAACAAAATCTAAAGGAGAATCTGCAATTTTATCCCTACTGATCTGGTATTTCAGCTTCAGTCATTTTACCATCACCATTTTTTTCTTGTATCTTTTCTATAAACATTTTTATAGCAATTGTTCTGAGGAACTTTGGTTGGTTGATTGGTTATTTTACCAGCATATCAACCACCATATTTTCTTCTTTGATAGCTTGACTTCATGAATTTAGGTGTAGTAGTAGATTGGAAACTAGATCACATCCTTTTACTTCTGAAATTGCAAAGATCTTACTATAAGTTCTACATTAATAGTTTCTTCTCTCATACTTCTTGCTTGTGGAACTCTATTCTGGCTTCTTGCTTTCTTGTCAACTACAATCTTTAAAAATTTAAATGCAGTGTAAACTAACATTTCTTGTACTTTTATTGTCCTCTACCTGTAATAATGTTTTCTCAGTTTCCTTCATTCTTGTTAACCCTGTGTCTCTTAGTGTTTTCATTGCCTTGCTTTGGGTGAAATCATTTAAAAAAGAAAGAAGTCTGATGTGATAAAAATCATTGGTGAAATTTATTAATTTATTTTACTTCTTGATTATATTTTGTTTTGTTTACTGGTATATCAATTCCTCATGGGTCATTTTATGCCTAAATTTTAATTTTCTTGGGAGCATTAGTAATTTCTTTTTAAAAAATGTATTGCTGGTAATTTTTTTTTTCCTTACAGAAATGTATTGCTGGTAATTTTTTTTTTCAAACACATTGCTGGTAATTTATTTACTATGAAAATGTTTTGCTGGTATTTTTACTATAAATTTTTTTATACTTTCATAGTGTTTTGACCCCAGTTTTTCCATAGCTGTGACCCTAACAGGTGCTACCACCCCAAGTCAGAGTGGACATGGGAACAACAGCAATTAAAAGGTGGTTCCATGCTTCTTAAGACAACCTGATCAGAGGCTTTGCTGCTGGATGTAGTTTATTGTCATACTCAAGACAGCACTTCTTGATTAATTTTTTAAACAATTATGAGATATTAATTTGAATAATTAATCTTCAAAATTATATCTTAATTATTACTGATGATCTAGACAGCATATTTCTGAATATAACACAAAAATATGGTTAATTTTCCAGTTATTAGTTTTACTAGAATTCCAATCTTGACCCTCGTTTTTTGAACATAGTATAATTTTGTCTTTTCAGAAAATTTGAATGTGTTTGAAGGATGAGACAAATGTATATAAAAAACAATGAATTACAGGATTGAGATGACATTAAGAATAATGCATCACCTAGAGAAAATATTAAATATTTTCATAATAAGAATTGCAATAATTATAACTTTATGGAAGTTTGTCTTCTGCAGTTTTGAGAACACTGATAATCATTTTTATAATTGCAGATTAAATTGATTTGGTCTGGTTTATTTTGTTTTACAGCATATCAATCTCAGTGGTTTATTTAATGCCGACAAGATTTTTAGAATATGTCTGTATGATTAGAATATGTATTCTTTGTAAGAAATCAGTTTGTAAATCAGCTTTCATTGATGTCTTTTTGTAAAGAGACTTGCATTAGTTTGTTGATTGTTTGTTGATTTTATTTAGTGGCATCTCAACAACTCTATAGTTTATTTAATGCTGAAATATAAATATCTTGAGTGTAATGTTATGGCTTCAACTGAATATATTTTGTATATAATTTTATACTTTGAGTAAAGTATGTTTTTATATATATAGGTGGAGATCATAAAATGTATTGCTGGTAATTTTACTATAAAAATGTACTTTTATATTTTTTTAGTGCTGCATTGATTGTCATTTTGCTATAAAAAATGTATTGTTACTCATTTTTTAAAAATGTAATGATTTTTGCTTGCAAATTCACTATTTGTCCCTAGCTGGGGCTGTAAAAGGTGCCACCATCCCCCGTGTCAGGGTGGTCCTTGGAACAACGACAATTAAGAGGTGGTTCCACACTCCTCAAAACCTCCAATCTCCCAATCAGAGGCCTTGTTGCTGGGTGTAGTTTATTGTCATACCCAAGATGCCAGATTAAGTTGAATAAAATGTCCACATAATTTTATTTTTCATTTTGCTTTCAAAAGCATTATATCAAACTAAAATTATGAAGCCATTGACCAAACTATCTATTAGTAATAATTGGTATAAATTAGAAAAAAATCAGTAAATAATTCAATAATCCATGATCTACTTTGATGCACAGCATATTTCTTCTTTTAATAAATCTCATGTCTATATGATTTCAGAGGCTCTTGTATAACATAGCAG